TGTCTGAATGTATCCGTTTCTTGTATTACAGCTTGATGAGATGCTTGAAAAACGTGGGGTCAAGGTTGACAAAGTGCTTAACTTTGCAATTGATGATGCTATTTTGGAGGAGAGAATTACTGGCCGCTGGATCCATCCATCTAGTGGTCGCACATATCATACAAAATTTGCGCCTCCAAAAGTGCCCGGTGCTGATGATGTAATGAGTAACTCCACTTTCTCTGTTATTGCGTTTGATAATATTCAAAATTGTCTCTCTTTCTTGCTATAGATAAAATGTTCTGTTTCGCCCCTTTTCACTTAATAGAAAACTGTAATTATGTGCTCTGTCATCTCATATTCTTTTTTATATGTAATTGGAGAGCCTTTGAGGTAATGGAGTTCATTTTTATCATTTAAAGGTAACTGGAGAGCCTTTAATTCAACGTAAGGATGATACGGCTGATGTTCTCAAGTCGAGGCTTGAAGCTTTCCACAAGCAGACTGAACCAGTATGCTTCTTTCTCGATGTTGATATTATGGTTTACGTAGAATTACATTCTTGCTTGAAATATTATTTTACATCTGCTGTTATTGGCCTGTTAGTTTAGTTCTTGGAAGGTAATTAACAAACAGGAGTAACTATAAACTTGTGCTCAGTATTTTCTGATTTTCTTGTTGCGTAATGATCTCAACTACTCAGTTTATGCTTGCAAATGCTACGAGTTTTTTAAGAAAATCTGACTGTTGGTTTTGTGTGCATTTTATTGGATTTTTTAATTTATATTTTCCCCCTTTGTTCTGTACGCCAGAGATGGATGAGACATTTTGTGAAGACTGGTTATGCTTTACGTTTCGTATTCTGATGTAGTTAGAAAATTATGAATGACTGGATTACTATCAGCAGGGTGTTGATTTTACCTGTTTTGCCTTTATCATTTTTTCTGTCTACCCCTTTTTTTTTGCTTTTCCCTTCCTCTTTCTTGTTGTCCCGTGGAATTTGGTGCCCATTAGTTTATTCGGCTGAAAAGGACATTCGTGCTTATATTTCACCATTTGTAATGCCTCCTGCATGATTGAAATTTTTATTTATATGTTTCTCGTTTTATGAATGTTGAGGTAATCGGCTACTACAGCAAGAAGGGCATTGTTGCCAACCTACCAGCAGAAAAGCCTCCGCAAGAGGTGACATCAGAGGTCAAGAAAGTACTTTCCTGATATGAAGGATGCCAGCTTTTTTCCCAACAATACACTAATAAACATTACAACTCCCGGCTTTTGGTTATTTTATTTTCCAATACTTTCTGTGGATTCTCACTAGAGGCTATATAACCTCTAAGACTTTGTTTTGCTGAGTCGGTGTTAGCTATTTGATTTGTTTGAATGGTTTACAGAATAATTTTATCTAACTTTTTGCGGGAGCTCAATGTAGTTTTCTGCTTATTGCATTGTCTCTAAACTCACTACTGTAGCTTTTCCAGTGGAAATTGTGATCGGGTCTCATCAGCTAGTTTTACTTTTGCATTGGGTCTCTTATTATTACGTCTGCCGATTGTCACGAATCATTTCTCTCGACTGGTAATGTTCTATTTTTAATAAGCTTTTCTAATTGAAAAATGCATTTCCGAACAGTTTAGCAAGATACTGCTCTGCTGGTTTAGGAGCGGTTGAATTTTAAGTGTGATGGTCTTGATGGAGCACTGCCATGATTTTCATCAAATTAAGGATTCTGATGTCTCCGTGATTTTGTTGAAAATTTTTGTCTTGCCAAGTAATAGAAAAGTAAAGGTCGAAAAAAACATGAAATAATTTTGAAATTGTTGATAAATGTGAAATAAATTATTTTAAAATTCATGTTATGTAAAGTAATCGAATATTATTAGTCGATGTAGATTCGAAGCATTT